CAGCAGCAGCCTGAAGCGTTGATACAAGGCAGGATGGATCCATGCTTCCATCTGAATGTGGTTTTTCCAATCTTCTATTGTCCAGTTTTGGTGAATTGTAGCCTCAGTTTCCTGTTGTTAGCTGACAGGAGTGGCACCTGGTGTGGTCTTCTGCTGCTGTAGCCCATCTGCTTCAAGGTTGGACAAGGTGTTGTTGCTTCAGAGATGCTCTTCTGCACACCTTGGTTGGAACCAGTGCTTATTTGACTTCCTGTTGCCTTTCTATCATCTTGAACCAGTCTGGCCATTCTCCTCTGACCTCTGGCATCAACAAGGCATTTTGGCTCACTGGATATTTGCTCTTTTTGGGACCATCCTCTGTAAACCCTAGAGATGGTTGTGCTGAAAATCCCAGTAAATACTCAGACCAGCCCGTCTGGCACCAACAACCATGCCACGTTCAAAGTCACTTCAATCACCTTTCTTCATCATTCTGATGCTCCGTTTGAACTTCAGCAGCTCGTCTGTACACTAGTATTACTGTACACCAGTATCATTCAACCCATCCTTCTGTACTGTTGCCCCTGTTTCTACAACATGCTGTCCACCACTAACAGGAACAAACTAACAAAAATAACACACACCGCATCCAAAATCATCAACCATCCCATACCCAACCTCACAGAGCTCAACCACCGATCTGTCACATGTCTTGCACGAACAATAACCAATGACTTGGATCACCCTCTCAAACCACACTTCACACTGCTGCCGTCTGGGCGCAGATACAGGACCCTGAGATGGAGACGAGCACGCTTCAACAAGAGCTTTGTCCCGTCTGCCATCTCTGCACTCAACAACCTCCCCCAATAATCTCATATGGACCCAGCCCTCCTGAGTGTGATATATATGTGTCAGTTGTTCATGTCTGGTGGTGTTTGTGCATTGTGTGTGTATTGATACGTTGTTCAATGTTTGGTGGTGTTTGTGCATGGTGTTTGTTGGTGGTGTTTTTGTGTACCCAAATGTTGTTGTGACAGTTTGTGAAAACAAATTTCCCCATGGGACAATAAAGGCTATCTATCTATCTATCTATCTATCTATCTATCTACCTTCACCATGTCTAAATGACTAAATGTTAATGAGCTGCTGACACCTGATTGGCTGATTAGATATGTGTGTTAATGAGCAGTTGAACAGGTGTACCTAATAAAGTGGCCGCTGAGTGTATGTCATCACTGTTGCTCTGGAGAGGTACCAGCATGTAGTGCTGTGTACTTTAAAAGGCAGTTATTTGTAAATATTATTGACATAATGAGAAATAAATAATTCATCAGATCTAAATGATAAATGTTGGTACAGCTGAATGAAACATCAGAGAAGATGCAGAAGGTTTTTTTTGTAGAGGTCACATGATGTCAGGGGATAAATTGATGAATATTTATAAATATTAATATATATTCTTACCAAAACATTTTTAACTAAAAGATCAGATTTTAAACAAGATGTAAACATTTTAACATTTCGCCTCCATTTTACAAATTAAAAGTCCTGCTGAAACCCTCAATAGCATAAAGGTCATTTAAATTATCTAAATTATTATTATAATAATTATAATGATAATAATTACTATTTGTTTTTTATTAAAATGTAAATGTATTTAAGTTATTTTAAATGATAAATACATTGTATTTAACTGACTTTAATTTGATGTCGTATCGAGGACAGAAGACACAGTAATGATTTATTATTATTATGGCTGACGTTTCTCGGTGGAACAGACTGACAGCGCCGTGCACGAGGCGCACGCTTCTCAAACATGGGTGTTGAATGAATGTATATTCAGTGTCACTGAAAATAAAGACGTCATCATATGTTTACATGTTGTCAAACTGAATTCTTCTTCTGCACTTTTATTGCCTTTGTTCCATCAGAGTAAACTTTAATGGCGTCACTTCCTGCAGACTGACAGCAGGGGGCGCTGCAGGCCGCACTGTGTGACAGGCAGAATGACAGATTCACATGAACATGAATCAAATCAGACTCAGCTGATGAAATAAAGACTAACACATGAATATATGAAATGTTATTGATAATAGTGACGTCAGACTGAAGTCAGACGGATCAGTATCTTTAACAGTGATCAGTTTCACAGAGAGTCGATCAGAAACCATGAGAATCAATAATCTGAAGTTTATTTACCATCGTGTCTCTTCTCTCGGCGTGTCGGGAGCGTGCACGGCCACGCGCACACCTGCCGCTCATCAACTCATCAGAGTCCAGGCCGCGCAGGCGCACGGAGAGAAAATAGTCCCCACAGTGGCGGAAGAATCTCAGCTTCACGTTTCATTGATGAGTCAGAAAAACTGAAGTCTGAACCTGTTTTTAACATTTAAACATTTTATTTCACATCTTTCTTCATTTAATGAGAAATATCTGCAAATGTTTTCAGGAGACTTGATTTAAATGTTTTTATTCTTTAATGTCATTGGGATTCATAATCAGACAGGGGTGGACATATTAATGGAAACATTTACATTTAATTTTACATTGAACATTTATGACACAGTTTTCAGTCTCTCTGGTTTTTAAACTTTAAACATACGATAAAATAAAAAGAAACAAAATGCTGCAACACACACAAACTGTCATCTAGAAAAGTTCCAATAAAAATACCACAAAGATACTTTAAAACAAAGTTCTATAACCAGTGGTGTTGTTCAGCCTGCTGCTCACCACAATAAGCTTAATGTATATTTGTAAAAAATCAGAATGAGCCCAGTAACGATAATGATAATTATTATAATCAATAATAATCAATAATGATAATAAAACCCAGGATCTGTTAATGTGTCATTCTCGTCATTAAAGCTCTTAAACATCAGCAGAGGAGTCTGTTTCTGTTCAACACTAATTACAACTGCTGATATTTAAACGTCAAAATTCATCTGGAAAATAAACAACAAACAGATTTTAAAGGTAAATAATTCGCCAGAGTTGATAAAAAGCATCAACACAGCGTTTCCCAGCATGCACTGCATGTCAGTATGACATCAGACAGACGTCGGACAGACAAATTTGGTTGGAATGAAAATCAGGTTGGCGATGTTGAAGATGTCTAAAAATGTTAGAATTTAACATTAACGTTATGTTTACGTTAACGTTAACATTAGGATGTTTAGCTGACGTTGGGTTTTGTTCTTTAAAACTTACGACGAAATGACATTATTCTACGTCAAGATGATGACGGCCAACACGTCCTCACTGCGACCTCATATGACGTCCAAGGTACCCTGGGTGTGTTGGTTGTTGACGTTCTGGGACGCCGTGTCAACTTCAGCCTGTTACATGCATTGTCTGTTTTCAACATAAACTTCTGTTTTCACAGGAAATGTACAGTTTGCATACAGTCTCTTTCAAAATAAAAGCACTACGTCGCTACAACACCACCAACTGATGTTTTTTTCCTTCAGCAACACACACACATGGTTACGTTTAGCCGACACACACATGTGGTTACGATTAGCCAACACACACACGTGGTTACATTTAGCCAACACACACACGTGGTTACGTTTAGCCAACACACACACGTGGTTACGTTTAGCCAACACACACACGTGGTTACATTTAGCCAACACACACACGTGGTTACGTTTAGCCAACACACACACGTGGTTACGATTAGCCAACACACACAC